TATTGGCAACAGCGCTACTTACATTATAAGATACACAAGAGAAAGGGATATTGTTTACATCAGGGTTACATGGATAGATTAGCTGATTTAGAGGGGTGCTATATATTAAAATGTTGAGAAACACTGTATTAGTAAATTTCAAACTACTATGCAAATATGAAGCTCAGCAGAACTAAGATAATTTGTTTAGTCTTTGTTTGTCTAAAGTTGGATTACATTTACAAGAAATATGCTCGATTTGCTCTTCATAAAGTAGCATTAAAAAAGATTATAAAAGGAAAAAGACAAAGCTGTAACACTCCTTAATGCACAATCACATTATTGTTGTACATAAAAAGGTAATCTCTTGTTATTGTCTTTCATCAGGGCACTTTCCATGCTATTTATTCATAATCTACAACTAATCTTAATGTAACACTAATTTAATATAGCCGTAAGGTTTTGTCTGCATTTTAATTGCTGGAATTTGCATAATAATCAATACACTGGTGCTATTAATTCATATATACATAAAAGCTGTACAGAAAGGGTAACGTTTATGCACCGGACCTATTAAATTATTTCAGGATCTCATTGCTTCTTTACTTGTATTAGTAATAACATTATGAATGCATACAATTGCAAAACTTTTTTTATGAATGTAGTTAAACCCACAATGGGGTGATAGATAAAATGGAGTGCATAACAATTTTACTGAATGCATTCCATGCTCCTCTTTAACTGAGTTGAGTGTTGTCAATTACCGTGAGAATGGTAACTAACTGAACAATAGAGAATCAGCTAAACTGACTTTTTGCAGAACATTTTACTTAAAAGGCTTTTTTTCGTTGCTTTAGTCTCATTCTGATCACAAAGGCCCACAATTGATGTAAGGTTCACAGTTTTGACTAAAAATCACATAAGACTGACCAGTAAACAAGGCGTTTAGTATAATGTCAAATTTAACTCTGAAATCACGTTTTCTAGAAATGGTGGTCAATACAGACTGTGCAAGTCACTATTAAATTCTGAAAATAATATACAAAAAGCTAGGGATGCACCGATACCGATGATTGTATTGGTGCCGATACCGAGTATTTGAACAAGTACTCGTACTTGCCCAAATGCTCTGATACTTACCTCCGATACTGGAACTTCCGGCCAGAGGGAGATCTCACTCTGACCGGCATTGCCGAGGGAGCATGGAGCCAGCTGCCTTTCCAATCAGGATGCCAGGAGGTGGGCTATGACCCACCTCCCAGCTTCCTGATTGGCTAGGAAGCCAGCTTCATGTGTTGCTAAGCAGTCTAGCTTCCTAACCAATCAGGAAGCCAGGTGACACTTAATGACCCGCCTCCCTGATTGGTCAGGAAAGCAGGCTGCCTAGGAACTAGTGAAGCTAGCTTTTTAGCCAGCGGGTCATGTCGTGCCACCTGGCTTCCTGATTGGCTAGGAAGCCGGCTTTCATATGTTGCTCAGCAGCCTAGATTCCTAACCAATCAGGAAGATGGGCATTACGTAATAACCTGCCTCCCTGCTTGGTCAGGAAGTCAGGCTGCCTACCAACAAGTGAAGCTGGTTTCCTAGCCATTCAGGAAGCTGGGCGGCACGTCATGACTCGTGTCCCGACTTCCTGATTGTTCAGGAAGCCACGCTGCCTAGAAACAGCCAATCAGGAAGCCTGGAGGCGGGTCATAACATGCCGCCCGGTTTCCTGGTTGGCTGGGAATCCGGCTTCATGTGTTGCTAAGCAGTGCGGCTTCCTAACCAATCAGGAAGCCGGGTGGCACCTCATGACTCGCCACCCGGCTTCCTGATTGGTCAGGAAGCGAGGCAGACCCTGAGGCCGGTGTTCTTTCGCTGGAACACCGGCTTCACAGGCAATCAGGAAGACGGATGACGGGTCATGATCCACCGCTTGACATCCTGATAATCCTGACCGGTACTCGGTATTGGTGAGTGCCGAAAAAAAATATCGGTACTCGTACTCGATACCGAAAAAATGGTATCGGTGCATCCCTACAAAATGCTAAATATAAGTATCTATTAATGACCTGAGGCAGTATACGAACAGACCGCACTATCCAGAGAATTCCAATACTGCAGACTTTATTAAAATTCACAGCAAATCCAGTATATCAGTGAATAAAAGTGTATAAAGCAACAAATGCCAGCACTGCACACCCCCAACCAAATACAACCTCTTGAGTTGGTTGGGGGTGTGCAGTGCTGGCATTTGTTGCTTTATACACTTTTATTCACTGATATACTGGATTTGCTGTGAATTTTAATAAAGTCTGCAGTATTGGAATTCTCTGGATAGTGCGGTCTGTTCGTATACTGCTGCATTCTAAGGTGGAGACGCACCTATTAGACCAACACCTGGGGAGTCCTGATGGTGGCTAAGGAATTGGAGCGTTGAGATTTCCTTTTGGCTCTATATTAATGACCTGAGTCTATTAAAATAATATTCCACATTTCAGCAAATTTTTTATGTTCTTCTTCCTGGAGCATCCTGTACTTTTTAAATTCTGCATGGTTGTGCATTGCTCTGCACGCACAAGCGTGTCACCCATTCACAGATTCATTCACAGGATCCATGTATTGAAAGACTACAAGTCACCTATGCGCTCCATCATGGCAGAGGGACTTGCAGATCTCAATGGAGGCACAAGTGGGGAAGGGCCGCTATCAAATCTTTTCTATGTCTCAGTTAGGGAGATTTCTTCTCACTTCCACATACATAATACAGTCAATCTCTGTGCTTCCTGTAGTACTGGAGCGGGATAATAGCTGTCATCAAGATTACTTAAATGACTCCCCTCCAATTTAATGTGTACATCAATGTTTTACCCACAGAGCTCCCTCTCCCCATCTAGAGCATGTTCTAGCATTATTTTTCTTTTACCTTGTTCCTGTAGCAGGAAACCTATTTTTCACTTCTTATGACATTATCACCTGGCTTGTAAAATTCTTGCATGGTCAGCTGCTAGGATCTCAGTTTCTATTGACTTAGTAACACCTCCAAAACTACATCTCTCAAGAGCCGCTTCCCTACACACAGTCTATGGGCAAACACTTGGGAGTCAAGGCAGTGGCACTGTTTTTCTGGGGTGAAAAAATCAATATATGAATCTGAAGTTGGACATAGAGGGGAAAAGGGACAGGTAGAGTTCTGTAGTCCAGCTTGTTGGGATTCAGTGCAACAAAGGCACTGTGTTCTCAGCTTAAACAGTAAGTTAGAAGCATACTGGAGTTTTGGCACACCAGGAGGTATTTTTCTGTACTTGCAGTGTTTTTAAAGCATTCAAACATGGGGAAATTTGCATGTACAGTATTGGAGAAAATCACAAATCACATAGGGAAAGCCGTCAAAGTCAGCAAATATTTTGCAGTTGGCTCAGGTGAATGTAAGGGGAAATATTAATACAACCCCAATTTCAAAATGTTAGGACGCTTTGTAAATCCACATGAAAACAGAATGCAATGTTCTGCAAATCTCATAAACCCATATTTTATTCACAATAGAAAATCAGTTTCAAAATTACCTTATTTTTTCTTAAAATGGCAGTTTAAACTTTTGATATGGTTTCTATTCTCTATTGTGAATAAAATATGGGTTTAGGAGATTTGCAAATCATTGCATTCTATTTTTATTAAGATTGTACACAGTGTCCCAACTTTTCTGGAATTTGGGGTTGTACTTTAAACTAATGATTCCTACTTTCTTCAGACATTCTGCCAAGTATTTAATGAGATGCTCCAAAAGTCCTTGGTGCAATATTGTACAGAACAACATAATTTATGTCTAAATTGGTAGGGGTTTAATACACTGATCACAATGGCTCAATTAAACAGTATTCTGGAAATCTGCAGCATTTGTTCAAGGTAACAAAAATGAAGAGGTCAAGTTTTCCATTTGTACTTTTGGCCAAAGAGTTAATTTCAAAGCCAAGACTTTCTTATTCTGACTAATTTTAAAGTATCTCCAGGCCATCTGGATTCTTTTTTTGGGAGCTCAAAGCTGTAGCTGACATCTAAGAAGGAAGTAGATGTTTCTGTACCAGATGTACCTGAGAAAAGCACAAATTATAATGTAATTGAAAAATACTAAGAGCATCATAAAACATTTAAAAAAGACCGCAAACCTTTCATAAATAAGTAACAAAAAGTACAGGAAGGAGAACATTGATATTCCTCTGAAAAGTTACCTATGACAGGCAAACTATGCAAACAAAAGATACCATCTGATCTATAATGTACAGTAGATCAGCAGTAGCCTGTTTCCATGTTCCGAGAATCATAGGCATTTGACATTATATAAACAGAGAAATCTAAAAAAATGTTATTAAAAAGTCTGCAATATTTCTAAAGTGTTTAAAGCATATTACAAGTATTCTCAGCAATATAAGTAATTGCAAGTAGTAAGGAAAAGTGCTAATGTTGTGCACTTATTTTTATGTTTTCCTTTGGTCTTTCCCCTTCAAAATTATCTATAGGTATTTAAAGCCTACCTCCTGTCATTTTGAATAGAATGGGTAAGGATTAACATTTTTGTTAGGTTTTTATTTCTGTCTGTAAACCTGCTAGGAAGAAAAACCCCTTACTTATTATGGTGCAGTCATGACCTGGACAGGAAGGCATAGACAACAATCAAAACATTGTAAATGATGAGCAAATTGATTGCTACTTGGCAACAAAGTGTTAAATAGTGTTGAAATTCCTTCATAGAAGTTCTAACCCTTCCTCAATCACTAACATCACTAAAATGTGTATTTGTTTTTGTCTGTGTCCCTATTGGAGATATTTTCCATCACTTCCTGCCCTGACAGCAAGAGAGAAGAGATCTGTCTAATAGGGACACAGATTGCCACAAAGACTGGACAGGCCCAAACTCTTCCCCGCAGTACCCAAAATGAAAGGCTTTGGCTAAAATTTAGCTCCAAAGTATGCTAAAGAAATCAAACTGTAAGATACTTTAGCAATATCCACCAGGACTAATGTCATTTTAAATTTCTTACCGTGTTCTTCTTCTACCATGCCGAGATTCACATGAGCTTCAGCTTCTTTCCTTCCACCATCAATTTGAATTTTCTTAGCTGTTTGAAAACAGCATTCAAAAAAATGATTTGAAAGCCAGTGGTCATCATTTTTGAAGTACTGTGCAAGTGCAAACTGATTTTTGTATACTTCTTCATAGTGACCTGAACAAGCAAAAACGTTATTAAATACATTTTGCAGTGAAACGTTAAAATAGCACATTTAAAAAAAGAAAAGACAGCTAAAAGAAAGATTCGTTTTATTTTCTACACATTTAACAAAGTAAAATACATGCCATGTTCCTATCACCCAAAGCAAATTTGTTACCAAGATGCTATTTTTAAAGAAAGGTATAATGTTTTTCTATATATTTTCTTTATGTATTATGTTCAGGATCAAACAAGAAAATATTTGAATTTCTGTTTACTCAGGTAAATTTAAAATATTGCCTATTAATATTTAAAATGTATCCTGTTGCAGCCTGTGAGTAGGGCATAGCATACACAACAGCTCATTAAGGCAGCAGAATAATTCAGAGTGTGAAGGTTCCCACTCTTTTGCCAAGTAAAAACTGTCTTGATCTTCAGTCTGCAGGAACAGTCATGTGGTGCACAACTAGTGCTGAGCTTTCTTATTAGGCAGCCAAGCATGCACTACATGCACTGAAATGCTTATCTGGGGTTTATGTTTAAATGTACCCTGAATTTGAAATGCTACCACTGACAAAATTCCCATAACTGTATTTAGCAAAAATATCTTAGCAATATTGCAAACATGGTTATTTTATTTTTCTTCATCCCAGTCAGCAGAGAGAATGATAGTTTTAAATGACCTAATAAATGATTAGTCAATCATTTAATGTTGCGTGTATAGCCAACATTAGTGTATGGTGGAATATGTTGTTAAATATTCATAAGATGTTGTAAAGAACAAAAAAACACAGTGATTTGGCTAAAATAAAGCTAGGTTACATAAACATGATATCCTAGATAAAGGTGGGCTATGCTCCACTCGTATATTTCTTGAAGATTTTAAAGGCAGGTTCTCTATGCTATAGTTTCTGGCAATGAGTTTGGTATTCCAACCAACAAATTGTTAGGTGGTTTAACTCCACAGCATCTTCTTACAAAAAGTAAAAATATCAGTTTTGGATGGCCTGGTATTTTAAGTACACAGGTATCTTTGGATATACAGTATGCAATATTTTCAACCACCCCCAGAAAAATGTGAAATACAGCTGTGTCTTCTTAAAGCAGCCCTATGCTAAAATGTTAACTTGGTTCTAAAGCATGACATTAAACATTTATGTTCTTGAGTTGGCAATAGATTCACTTTGAACCACACTATAACAGCATTTTTATAAAGCTCTAGTGTGCAGCTCTAGCTTTAATTCTTCATCAGAACCTGCAACACTCACCCGCATTCACAATTTTGTGTTAAAACACATGCGTTTTAATGCTCTCTTTGATTTGTATTTATGTAAATTCAGTTTTAAGATCTACATAGCACAGCCAGTCTGGAAACGTGACTTTTCTCTACTGCCGTTTAATAACACTTGCAGGTCTTGCCTCTCCCCCAACATGTGAGTGGACAGTGAAAAGAGAAGCAACAGAATGATGAGCTCATCTTTCCATCACAGGGGATTGTCACAGGGGATTGCAAGAGGCCGATACCAAGTCAAATGCAGATACCGTATATACTCGAGTATAAGCCGTCCCGAATATAAGCCAAGGTACCTAATTTTAGCCAAAAAAACTGGGAAAAAGTATTGACCCGAATATAAGCCGAGGGTGGGAAATGAGGCAGCTACTGGTAGATAGATACCAATAAAATTACATTAATATTTATTTAAAAGAAAAATAACCTAGCTCTGTAAGTGGAAAAGGGGGTACAGGGCTACATATCATGTACTACGGATCATTTAACCCATTCATATTAGCAGAGGATAATTGTAAATCTATTGTTCAGTGCACTCTATATGTAGTATATAGTACATGTACATATAGAGTGCCTGCAACAATACATTTACAATGATCCTCTGCTAACATGAATGGGTTAAATGATCCATAGTACAGGGCTACATACAGATCATTTAATACATTCATGTTAGTATAATTGTAAATGTATTGTCTGCACTGTATTAGCAGTATATACTCTATATAGAGTATATACTGCTAATACAGTGCAGACAATACATTTACAATTATACTAACATGAATGTATTAAATGATCTGTATGTAGCCCTGTACTATGGATCATTTAACCCATTCATGTTAGCAGAGGATCATTGTAAATGTATTGTTGCAGGCACTCTATATGTACATGTACTATATACTACATATAGAGTGCACTGAACAATAGATTTACAATTATCCTCTGCTAATATGAATGGGTTAAATGATCCGTAGTACATGATATGTAGCCCTGTACCCCCTTTTCCACTTACAGAGCTAGGTTATTTTTCTTTTAAATAAATATTAATGTAATTTTATTGGTATCTATCTACCAGTAGCTGCCTCATTTCCCACCCTCGGCTTATATTCGGGTCAATACTTTTTCCCAGTTTTTTTGGCTAAAATTAGGTACCTTGGCTTATATTCGGGACGGCTTATACTCGAGTATATACGGTACTTACACATATTGTATTTAAACAATTATATTTAATGAGAACTGCATTAATTTGTGTCTTATACATCTTTAGCTTGACTTCCCATTTTCATGCATCTATGTGCATTTTGATTGATGTGTTGTGCATTTTGATTGATGTGTTTTGCATGTATTTTAAATCACTTCAGCTAAGCACGCTTTGAAATGCAAAAATGTGACCCCAGCCTGTGTTTTGAACACACAGTCCCTAAAAAATCAAATATGCAGATGCTTTGATAATATCGGTGATTACTGCGATGGCTGAGATTATCGCATGGCCAAGAGGCTCAGCATCCATACAGAACCGAAGGAGACAGAGAAAATTTGGGCTTCTGATCTCACGGCTTTGAGATGCTTAAAGCTAAAGTCCAGGTGAACAGCTAATAAATACAAATAAGGGGAATGTTTTATCTGTCAAAGGATTTCTATTTCTGTCCATTCAGTTCTGAGATTTACTCAGAGGAGGAGTCCTGATTTTTCTCTGCTGCAGTTTAGTAACACTTACCGGTCTCCTCCCCACCCCCAGCATGTGAATGGACAGTGAAAGAGAGAAGGAGCACAGTGATGAGCTCAGCTCTCTGTCACTTTACTGTCCCCTCCTTTCAGTGTGCTCCTTGCACTGCAGCACAACTGACTGGCTCCTTGTGTTGTTTTTACCACAGTCTGAGACACAAGAGGCTGATACCAAATCAAATTCAGGTAAAGCAAAATTTAATGCTATAATAATTATTGCAGAGCTGCATGATTTGTGTCTTTTATACAGTATTTGCCAGAAGTTCAGCTTTAAGGTATGCACCTTCCTCGGCTTATATTCGGGTCGGCTTATACTCGAGTATATACGGTACTCAATACTTATGCATTGGATTTACTTTACCATACAGTATCTACCCTGCCACTGTTTGCTGTCCCCATTCAGACTCATCAAACAGCAGTCTAAATTCATTGTCATGGATCCTTCTGTGCCCAGATGGGCACACTTTCACTGTTAAAAAATATAGCAAAGAAAATAAGGCAATTCGGAACATAAGATCAGTATCCGAAACGTCATGCTGTTGTGTCCATGCATCATAGTTGAGATCTGACAATGAGGCTTTGGAGCTTTAGGTATAAGGAACGGGAAGAGTGACTCAAATCTGCAGCTGTGAGTAAGAAAAAGACCCAAATATATCCTATTGGGTAAAATACTGATCTCAAAGCAGTCATGGCGGCTTTTTAGAAAACATAAAAGTCATGAGACATCTGCAGGGAGAGCAACAGGACTCCAATTTGTCCATTAAATGAAGCTGTAAACATTGATTGTTTGCTCTAGATTCTTGGCACAGTGAATCAGGCCAGATGTTAGGTCAGCAAATGCTATCATCTCTAACTTCATTACACTATTCATTTAAAGCTGACCACAGAAGCACACAGTGGATAGAGACTGCATTCTATGAAACTATGTCCGAGAGATCTGCTTTTTTAAATTTATCATCATTCTTTGTATGCTGCATTTCATAAGTGAAGGGAATTATACATGTTTTACTGATGACACCATAATTTTAGTTTTTTGATATAGGTCTTAAAAAGAATGCAATCAGCTTAGCTTAAGCTATCTGTAGAACAAAGCCAAACTGGTAGTCCTACAGGTATTTGGATATAATCAAAGTTCTTTAGTGGCATTTCTGAATAGATAGCTCAGTTGTGAGCAATCAGTCTACTGGGGGTCTCATCCTAACTTCTTAAGTAGATCTTAACCCTAACTGAATGACAGTTTGATGACAGATGAGTGTTTGCTAAAACACTGTTTTCATGTTTTTTTGCATCTCAGTACTACCTACTCCAGCCACTTAGGCCTCATTCACACGAGAAACGGCCGACAGATAAAGCTCCGTGTTGCGTGGACAGCCGCAACGGGAGCTGCGTGGCAGCTCCCGGGAAGGACAGGTGCTGCGTGTGATTAGTATGCACCCCTGTCCTTCTTTATGGGAGTATGCGGCCGTACGCTGGCCTACGCTCACCCGCCCTGTACGTCGGTGCGGGTGTCCGTACTCGTACGCTGACAGGATGGATCCTGTCGGCGTCCGAGCCGGGACACCCGCATGGACCTGCACTTGGGGTGAGCGTAGGGCTGCGTACGGCCGCATACTCCCATAGAGAAGGACAGGGGCTGCGTACTAATCACACGCAGCACCTGTCCTTCCTGGGAGCAGCCCGATATGGCCGTGCACGCAGCACGGAGCTGTACGTGCCGGCTGTTTCTCATGTGAATGAGGCCTAAAAGTCTACATGCACTAGGTCCAGCGTCAGCTGCACATCACTGCCAAACTGCCATAGACCTATCATTTCCAGTGTGAAAAATTTGTGGTGGTAGAAGAACAAAACAATCAGCATGACTAGTGAGTTGGTAGAATTAGTTATCATCAGACATCTCTTATTTATGTTAAAAAAAAGACTTTTGTATTGCTCACTGTGTGGATAAGCAAAGGTACCTAGCCAATAGTCACTGCATTGTGGAACGGGGAAAAACAACTGGGGTCCT